CAAACGTTCTATTGGTGAACAGTTAATAAATTTACGTTCCTAGCAATCGGAAGGGTTTTCCCCGCTCAATGGCTGCACTATCTTCTTATGTTCTTTTCTCGTTTTAGCTTCGAATCTGAGCCCAAAAACGTTTTTCCTGTCATTCTTACATTTACTGTATATTTCAGGCTAATACTCTAATTATCTTAATGATACCAGGGTAAAAAGATCGATGCCACGCCCTTAGCCATGTACAACTACTTCATCGAACGTGTACGGTCCAATCTTCATGTAGTTCTTGCTATGAGTCCCATTGGTGATGCCTTCAGAAACAGGCTGCGAATGTTTCCATCTCTTATCAACTGTTGTACAATCGATTGGTTTCAGGTGAGATGGAACACATTTCTCTTATTTTGCATAAAGCAAGTGTTTTAGTTTTGTGTCACGTTACTTGAAATTGTGATCATGTCAGAAGATTTCCAAGTGACTAAATAGAGTAGATTTTCTTTTTCTGTTACGAAAACGCTACACTAAAACTTATTGATGCGGAGAAAGTATAAACAGTCTAAATTTGGAATCATAACTAAACATCGTGTAATGATGTCCTTACAGTCGTCCAATGGCGTTATATATCTAAATTAGATATAACTGGAAATAATAACAAGAAAGTTTATACGTGTTTCGATGTTTGACAGATTCAAATTCCAACTCCTATGATTTACGTATTACTTGATCCAAATACATTTATTATAAGCAATCTGGTGGAATGGCAATCCTCTTTAGGCCGGACTTTTAACAACATTGCCTAGTTTGTTCAGTTATGCTATATCAATCTACCCATGATCCTTTTCTTAGGCGTGGCCAGAAGATGCCTTGGAGATGGTWGCTAATAAATTCCTTGAAGAAGTCGACATGTCGGACGACATCAGGAAACAATGCGTGTTTATGTGTCAGTACTTCCACGAAAGCGTTCGAACATTATCAGAAAAGTAAGTTTTAAAGCTTGAAACATGTGGTTGATATGTAAGACGCCACTATAAACTTTCAAAAATGGCGGTAGTTCATGACCGCCAATATCGGAGGAGTGACGAATCATGGAAATAAGACCTCAAAGCCCTTACATCTAAAAACACACTACGAAGATCGCATGTATGGCATTGTCTAAGTTGAAAGATGTATTGCTATGTTAAAATGACAAAGTACTCTTGCAAGACACTATGGTAGTCTACTATGTGGAGGCTGGCGTTTGAAACCTTTAGTGCTTCGTCCCCAGTGCCGTGGTCGGTGACCGTGACATATCGCGTCATTTTTGAAAGTCGCAATTTAATGTTTTCTTTCTTTAACCTTTTCTAAAATACAAAATCATGTTGCATTGCGGTCTAGCTCCAACACATGCAACACCATATTTGGCCATATTAACAATAGATAATTCTACCCAAAGGGCCTATTTGGTTTCTCTATATATACAATACGACCGCACAGTCAACGTAAAAATTCCAGATATTAACACATAATCCTTTCATCTGTGCCTTAGTTTCTACTCCATGTTACGACGTCGTAATTACGTCACCCCCACGTCATATTTGGAGCTGATAATGACGTTTAAATCTCTTCTTTACGTCAAACGAGAAGAGATCTCTGCTTTGAGGAATCGTTACTTGACTGGTCTTGAAAAACTCGAATTTGCCGCATCACAAGTGTCCATCATGCAAAAGGAGCTTAGTGATCTYCAACCAGAATTGGTGAAGACATCCGCTGACACCGAAAAACTGATGATCAAGATTGAGCAGGATACAGTTGAAGTCGAGGCAAAGAAAGAGGTGAGGTTGCACTTTTATTATGACCCTTAAATATCCATTCGTAATCTGTTTCGATCCATCAGTTTTAAAGGGACACTGTCAATGGATGACATGCGTAGTAACAGTCTTGTCTCTAACGGACTTTGAAAGTATTACCTTCGAGGTAAATTAATGTTTTGGTACACTTTGGAATATTCTAGATCTGTTTACGTTAACGAGATACTTTTTTGTCATGCATCGCGCCAACTTGGAGTCGTAAACCTGAAAACACTAACCTAATGTTTTCAAGTTTACTCGCGCATGTCATCCATTGACAGTGTCCCTTTAAGATCGAATCTTACAATATCTCATTTCATATAGAATAAAGAGATAATTGCCGGATTTCAGATCCGAGGAAATGTCTGTGCTACAAGTGAAACCGTTACTGTTCTGAAAACAATTTCAATCAAATTCGTTTTTAAAATTGATACGGTGGTTCTATCACTGTTGAAACAGTTACTATGGTTATCTCATGACTAGAAGAATCAAAAAGTTATTTAATAACGAAAAACTTTATTTTCTTAGCTTAGAAATTACACCTTTCCTTTAAAAAATAGTATTATAATAATGATAATAAAACTATAATTATCACCAGTACACTTCCTTAACACGTTTTTTGTCTTTTTTGAATTCCCAGGTCGTTGCTGCTGACGAAGCGGTTGCTAACGAAGCAGCAGGCGTTGCTAAGGGGATCAAGGATGAGTGTGAAAGTGATCTTGCTGAGGCGCTGCCTGCCCTCGAAGCTGCACTTAAAGCCTTAGATACCCTCAAACCTAGTGATATTAGTATGGTTAAATCAATGAAGGTATGTCTCTGSCASCCCTATRCYCGTGAAKTGCCGACTTCAGCACATGYKAGACTAGACGTTTCAAAWWWRGRMYTYMARRWTTTYMWTTKTTTTYYYCTYYWC